TTTGGTTATTTTTCTTCTTTTTATTAATGGGTTTATTTTTTATTTAATTTTTTTTTTGACCCACGTCCAAACGTCAGGATGTTTGGTTTCCACCCTGAGCTGCTAGGGGGGAACAAAGATGCCCACATAATAAAGAAGATGTGTGGGGACACAGAGGAGAAAGCACGTATTTCTGCTTAGGAAATTTGAGGAGGGATTCTCAGCGCCGAGTCAAAAAGAAAGCTAATTACCGCTATCTGTTCTTGCTCCGTGTTCGGCTCTGCCCCGCGCCACACACAAATTGTCTTATGGAAAGCTAGAGCCACCCTTGCAGGGATGTTATCTTCCTCTTCAACAGCTTAGGCCATTAATATGCAACCAGGGCGAGTGACTTGCTCAAGGTCACAGCTAGTAGCAGCACCCGGACCACATCCCCCTTGGCTCTTGCTGCCTGGTGCACAGCCCTAGCTGCCTATGCTGCAGGACCGTGCCAGGCTCGTCAACTGGACAGGACGGATGGGGAACCATTAAGATGGCAATAGTAAAAATAATAATGTTTAAAAAGCAGAGAATCAGTGTTGGCAAGGACGTGGAGACATTGCAACTCTGGTGGGAATGTAAAAATGGTGCAACTGCTGTGGAAAGCAGTCTGATAGTTCCTCAAAACATTGACCAGAGAGTTATCCTATGATCCAGCCATTCCACTCCCAAGTATGTACCCAAAAGAATTGAAAACCTGTTCATACAAACACTTGTACATAAATACTCAGACCAGCATGATTCACAATAGCCAAAAGGTAGACACAACCCAAGTGTCCACTGATGGCTGAATGGATAAACAAGATAGGGTCCACCTGTACAACGGACTATTGTTCAGCTATAAAAAGGGATAAAGTGTACCCTAAAGAAGACAGGGACTCAAACAGATACTCATATGATCCCTGCAGCATAATTCACGATAACCAAAACAAAGGAAGCGACCTATGTGTCCATCAACAGGTGAGTGGATAAACAAGATGAGACATATCCTTACAATGGAATGGTATTCAGCCTTAAGAAGAAAATAAGTACTGTGCACATTGCAAGATAGAGCAACCTTCTAAACATTATGTTACAGCAAGAAGCTCAATACAAAAGGCCGCAGAGTGTATGAGTCCATTTACATGAAATGTCCAGAATATGCAAATCCATAGAAGAAAAAAGCAGATAAGTGGTTGCCAGGGGCTGGGGGAGGAAGGATTGGGAGGTACCAGTAAAAGGCAAAGGTGGGAATTTTATGTGAATTTCTGTCTATTAAATACATGCATGTTGCTGGGAATGTAAACCGGTGCAGCCACTGTGAAAAACAGTACAGAGGTTCCTCAAAAAAAATTAGAAACAGAACTAGAAAATAGAACCAGCAATCCCCCTTCTGGGTATTTAGCCAGAGGAAATGACACCTGAATCTCCACTGTGGCATTATTAGCAATAGCCTCTAAGACATTGACACAAGCTAAATGTCCATTGGTGACGAGTGGATAAAGAAAGTGTGGTCCATATATATAATGGAATATCAGCCATAAAAAATAAAAAATCCTGCCATTTCCAACCACATGGATGGGCCTTGAAGGCATTATGCTAAGTGAAATACATCAGATGGAGAAAAACAAATACTGTGTGATCTCACTTTTATGTGGAATCTGAGAATACAACAAGTGAACTTATAGATAGAGGACAGTTTGCTGGTTGCCAGAGGTGTGGCAAGGGGGGTGGATAAACCAGTGAAAGTGTCAAAAGTTGCAAACTTCAGCTCTGGGATTATAATGTTCAACCTAGGAACTAAAAAAACTATAAATGTGAAGTATTGGGGAAATGACATTCCTGACACAGCCAGCGCCCAAAGAGGGACAGAGCTTGCATTTAAACCCCAATCTGTTCAGAGCTTGTGTTCCTAACCCCATTACAACCTCATGGATGAAATGCTTTGTGAACCATTCATAAAAGTAGTAGGAAAGGAATTCTGGGCTGGAGGAACAGCATGTGTAGAATGCTCAGAGGTAAGAGAAGTTTATTTATTCAACAAATATGTATTGACCACCTGCTTATAATGACTAGACATTGATTCAAGGACTATGGCTGACAAGGTCCCTGCCCTTCTGGAGCTCACAGAAATGGAGGTGACAATCAAGTAAATCAGAACTCCACACATGAATGGAGTTGCAGTCATGGAACCATTAGGGCAAATGACTAGGGTGTGGTCCTGGATGGAAGGGGCAGGGGCATTCAGGAAAGCTTTTAGGAGGAGGCTCAGGCCTCAAGAATGGAAGGGCCGGCCATACAGGAATGAGGGGAAGAGCATTCTGGGCTGAGGGATAAGAAGGTGGCCACCACAGAGCTCAGAGTGAGGGCAGAGCAGGCATAATGGCACTGAGTTGGGTACAGATACTTCTGCCCTGGGTCTGCAGCCTCTGGTCTGAAGCGGACCCATTCTTTGGGCTGCCTGTGACTGCCTGGCACCCTGGAGGAAGCCCTGCCCTTCCTGGCAGCAGCTGCAGAGGGCTGGGGAACATCTGTTCCCTTTTCCTTGAGGAAACGCAAAGGGAGTGTAAGACTGAGAGGTGTGTGCTATTTCTGCCGACCTGTCGCCATTGCCATCCCATCCTCACCTCAGAAAATGGCCCTCCATCTTTCCAGGGGTTCAGACCAGGATGGAGGGGTCCTCCTTGACTCTGCCCCATCCCCAGGTCCCAGCAAGTCCAGCCAGCCCTGCCTCCATAATGGATGCCAAACATAACCACTTCTCCAGCCTCACTGCCCAGCCCAGGCTCATCATTAGTCACCTGGACTGGAGCCATCACCTTCTTTCCTGTCTTCTGGTTCTCACCCTGTCCTCCCCACGCCCTGACTGTAGTTCCTCACTGTAGTCTCAGGAGGGCGCCTGTAAACACCTGCATTAGGGCATGTCCCCCCTCTGCTCAGAGCCCTCCATGGCTCCCACCTCATTCAGAGGAACAACCCAAGTCCCGTGGGCTGACAAGCGCCTGCCCACTCTGCCCATTTGTCCCTTCCTTCCCCTCCTCCAGACCCTCCGTTCTTCACTACACTCCAGCCCCACTGGCCTGGCTGTTCCTTAAGGCAGTTCCTACCTCAGGGCCTTTGCACATCCAGGATATGCCCCTTCCTGATATTATTATGGCTCCCTCCTCACCTCCCTCTTGCTCCAGTGTCACCTACTCAATCTTTCCGAGAACACTCTATTTAAAGAGTTCATTAACCCTATTTCCTATCCCCTCCCCTGCTTAATTTTTCTCCTTAGCATAAATCACATGCTAACCCTCCATACATTCCATTTTTGTTTCTTGTTTGTCGCCCCTTCACTAAGACCATGTCTGCACGATGGCAGGAATGTTTTTCTTTTCTCTTCATTGTTGTGTCCGCAGCACCTGGAACCGTGTCTGGCACACAGCAAGCGCTCAATCAACACTGAGCCCGCGCGTCAGGAGGAAAATAACACTTTCGTGGCTGCAAGGAGGACCTGCGGCCGCGCGGGGGCGATCGTCGACTGCGCACTTGGGACAAAGATCCAGGAACTCCTTGGGGCGCGCCTGGGAAAAATCCGCCGGAAAATAATCCCCCGGGCAGGATTGTCCCAGACCGTCCAGGCGCTGTTGCAGTCCCCGGTCCCCACAACGCCTCTTTGACCGGCCGTTCTGGGTGGAAATGCATTACCCTCCACCCCTCGAGAAGGAAGATCCCCGTGGAAATTCCTTAGAAACGGTCGGGGCGGGGGAAGGGCCGCGTTTCTGGACGGCGGGTAACTAACTCGCAGCCCCACCTCGTGGAGGAAGGGCCCGAGCGTCCCCCAGGCTCCCTCCCTTCCCCTTCTGCTGAGCGACCTCCCTGGCCCTTCCGAGGTCTCCATGGCGACGGAACAACAGGAAGCCTTAGGCGATGTGGCTTGGGTCCCCGGGGTCCCCGACCTCCACGTGGCGGATGCCGAGTCTTGGGGTCACGAGCGCAGGCCGTGGCCTCGGGGTGGGGGTTCTGAGAGTGGTGTGTAGACACAGCAGCCCCCAACGCCGTACTGTAACTAGCCGAGCAAAAACCCGCATAGACCCTCACTCGTTTAGGACTGACTCCCGGGATTCAAGTTTCGGGAGCCGCGCGCGGGAGGGCAGGGGTTTGGGCACCAACTCTCCCCGAGTCACTTCGGAGCCTGGGAGCGGCCTGTTACCCTGCGCAAGGCGGTATCGAGCACTCCCTCTCCCCTCTCCCGTCAAGGTCAGCTGCCTCAGTTTCCCGCAGAGCCTGGGAAGGATCTGCGGGGTGGGGGGATTCGGCGTGTCAGGAGCACGCGGCTTCCTTCCTTTTTCTGGAGATTTTAAGACGCCCCCGCGGCCGAGGCCGAAAGGGGAAGCGAGGCCGCGGGGGTGGAAGTGCCCATCGGTGGGAGCATGCGGGTCCCCGGCAGTGATGACGCCGCGCGTCCTCGCCCCTGGGTTCACGGGCGCCGGGAGGCGCCTGGGCTTGCTGCAGCCGCTGCTCAGGACGACTCAGTGTCAGCTAGGTGGGGACTTGCCCCTGGGGAAGGGGCACCCTGATAGAGGCGCCCCAGGAGGATTCCTGGGTCCCATACAAGCGACGACCGTCCACCCGATCGTCTCTGCAGGCGCGGGGGCGGCGGCGTCAGACGTGAGTTCAAATCCCCTTCACCGCTCGGAGCCTCAGTTTACCCCTCCGTGGAATGGACACAAGGACAGTCCCTACCGTCCAGGGTAATTGGCAGTATTCAGCAAAGCGCTCAGAGCAGTATAAACGCAGAATCAAAGTTAGTCTGATCCTGGGACCGGACCCCCAGAGCCAGGGGCAGCCCCTGCACCGCTGCTGCCGGTGCGGCCCCAATTGCTTCAATTCGGAAATTCCAGCTCTCGAGCGACCCGCGAAGCGGGACAACCCACCTCGGACTCCGAACCATCTCATTCCGGAAATGCCGGAGCCCTCGTTCCGGAGGGGAAGGCGCGAGGTTTCCGGGAAAGCAGCACCGCCCCTCGGCGCCCGTGCCGGGCCGCTATAAAAGCCCCTTACTCGCTGGGCGCCGCAGTCCGTGCAGTGCACCTCCGCGCCGCGAAGCCTAGCCTCTGCGTGTCCGCCCTCTTCGGCCCGCTATGGCTCGCGGTGCCGCCCGTCCCGCGCTGCCAGCCCTCCTGGCCCTGCTCTGGGCTCTGCTCCCAGGTGAGTCCGGGCTGGGGGCTTCCGTCGGGCCAGTGGTCGGAGGCCCTGCGCCCGGCTGGCTCGGAATGAGGCCGTTCGTACTTAGGTAGGCAGCTATTTATGGGAAGCCACCGTTGAAAGTCACTAGCTACAGGTTTGAATCCAGACCCTCATCACCTCGATGGGTGGCCTTGAGTTATAGGCTGAGCCTCCCCGGAGCCTCAGCGTCTCAGCGGTAAAATGGGGAACATAAGAGCGGCCATCTCCCAGTGGTTTGGCCCAGTGCCGCACCTGGTCTCAGGAGGCGATATGGCCTGGTGCCAAACTGAATAGGCTGGGGACCCCCGACACATGCACATTCTGTTCCTCATGCCCTGGCCCTGGGAAAGTCCAGGGCGGCTTCTACTCAGGGGAAATCCAGAGCTGACTTGCCCAGGGATCCAAGGCTGACAAGTGGGATGTCCTGGGCACCCTGCCACCAACCCCAGCCTGGAGGGCCAGGGGAAGGGTGACAGCTGGGCTCGAATGGTGGTCAGTGCTGGGCAGCCGGATTGCCACTGTGGTTTCCAGCTTAACAAAAAGCTCTAATCCCTACTCCCATCTGGGTTCTGCTGCTTTGTAGCTGAGTAACGTCGCCTCCAAAAGCCACACCATATCCCACTTTGAAATGGGAATGATACCAGAATCACCCTTGGAGAATTCCCAGAGCTGCTGCTTTCACAGACCTCTACGCCACCAAGAGTTAGGCCCAAAGCTGAGGGCAGGAATCTTTGCAGGGTGGCCTCAGTCACACATCAGCTAATCATAACTCCCTTCTTACCTGCAGCCACTGGCTACCTGCCCTGGGCTGCAAATGCTAGGATAGGGGGTGGGGTGGCTATGCTCACCCACCTTACAGATGGGGAAATTGAGGCCCAGAGGGGGGAAGCCACTTGTCCAAGGGAGTGAGGGGCCACCCTAATTGAAACCCCTCCATCACTGGCGGGCTGGCCCTCTCCTCCTGACCTCTTGGAAGAGAGGACAGTGACTTCAGTGTCCCTCCTCTGCTAAAAACCTCCATGGCTCCCCATCACCCTCAGAAGGAAGAACACAGCCTTGGACTGACCACACTGCCCACATGATCTTTTTGACCTCATTTCTCCCAACCATTTCCCCTTGCCCACTTTGCTTGGGGCTCCCCGCCTCAGGACCTTTGCTCTTGTTCCTACTGCCTGACACTCATTTCCCTTTTCTCTAGATGGCCAACCTCTTCTCATCATTCAGACCTGTGCTCGCACATTACCAGGCCATCAAGACACTGTTCCGTCTTCCTTTGTATTTGTCAAAGCTCTTATCAATATCAGTTATTATAACTGTGTTTGCTCATGAATTTTTCTGTCTTCCCACACTGAAGGCAGAGGGTTTTGTCTTGTTCAAGGCTGTGTGCCCAGCGCCACATGGTAATATTGACGAAACCAATTTACAATGCCTGTCCCCTGCTCATTGCTTTATTCCAGGGCCTGGAGGTACCCAAACCTCAGTATACCCCCCAGAAGCTATCATACCCCGAGGAGGCTCCATGAGCGTGAACTGTAGCACTTCCTGTGACAACTACACTCTCTTTGGCCTGGAGACTCAGTTAAATAAGTTGGAAGTGAACCATGGAGACAACTGGAAAGCCTATGAATTGAGTGACGTTCAAGAAAACAGCTCTCCAATATGCTTTACAAACTGTGTCACTGGTGGCCAGAGTACAGCTTCAGTGTCCGTCACTGTCTTCTGTGAGTGGTTGGGCCCAGAGGCTGGATCAGGGAGGCTGCCTGGGGGAGGAGGCCAGTGGGGGTCCCTAGCAGGCTGGGACAGCCTTTGTTGCTTGGTGGTGGGACCAGGGAGGGTCTCACTGGAGGCCAGATGGGCCCAGCTCCAGAGAAACCCCATCGTCATTTGAAGCCCTTCCTTGAACTTCCCTGGGTGGTTTAGAGTGTCAACAGGGATTCAGTGCATTTGAAAATGCTGACCCTCTAGGCCACTTTAAGCACAGGACAAGGCCCTAAATGTGACTCTTTAAAAGAAGGTGCAAATTGAAACTAGCCCTGAGAGGGCACTTTGCACATATTGGCTATAGTCAGAAGAATTGATAACAGCTGTTGCTGGCAGGGTGCCAGGAAGTGGGCCATCCTGGAACATTGGTGACGATGTGGGAGTGAAAAGCATACCCCCAGGTGGGGAGGTGGGCATTAGTTCTCCAGTGACAGTGCATGTGTCCTTTGACACAGATATTACACCCTGGGAGTCGGGCTTACATGTATCCCTGTTCACTGGGGGCAGGGTCACTCACTGTGGCTTTATTTGGAAGGGCGAAAGTTTGCAAGCCACGCAAATGTAGGGGGCTGGGGAGATCCACTGTGGTTTGACCACGTGATGAAATAGCGTGCAACTGTGTAAAATTATGAGGCAGCTTCTTGTGTCCTGCAAGAGGATGACCTCCAAGGTATATCATCAAGTGCAAAAGAAGTATGCCCACAATGAGTGGTATACCATTCCCGGTGTTAGGGGGCAGCAGGGAAGGGGTAAAGGTGTGGGGCAAGTTTTCTCGTGTCCCTTTCTTTTCCTTTGGGCATTTTGAACCATAAGGATAAGCTCCTATTGTCCTAGGCAATAAGTAAATAAATAAGAATCAGATTAAAACAGAACAAATAAACAAAGAAAGAGAACTGGTCAACTGGCCTGGATTTAGACAGCCTGGGGTTCCAGTCCCAGCAGGATCCTTACTACCTGGGGGCCCTGGGGTACATGGCTTCTGGATTTGCTCACTTGTGAGCTCCTCAGATGGACGCAATGATGCAATCAGGCATCGAGGACATTCTGTCTTCACAGGGCCTGCCTGGCAAAGGAAGCCTTTGGGCACATAGCAGCTTTGCTTCTAATTTAGAGATGTTTGAGCAGATGCTGGCCAGGTGAGGGAAGTCCCCAAACATTTCCAGTGGCCTCTGAAAACCCCGGGGAAACCTCTTTGAAGGACCATCCGTATCTGGGCCTGAGAATTGAAAGCCCAGTTCTCCAGGTTTGAATCTTGACTCTGCCACATCTGTCCCTCTGTGACTTTGGCTATTGTACTTTGTCTTAGTTTCTTACTCTGTGAAATGGAGCAGATGACTGGCACACAGTAGCAGGGTGGGTCACCTAGGAGAGACTCTACTTTGGACCTACCCTGTCCCCAGTGTAAAAATGAGGAAGCATCCCTGGGTGGCTGAGCTTTCTCTAGAAAGGTTAGAGTTGTAATTCCTGCAGAAGGCGACTCAACTGGGCCTTGAAGGGTACACAGGAGCTGGTAGACAGATACTCTGTCTACCTGGCTAGAGGGAGCAGCCTAGGCATGCTGAAGGGGCGGGTGGGGGCAGGAGGAACTTAACATCAACAGATTGGTAGGGCTGGAGCTGTGCCTGGCAGGGCCTCAAATGCCAGGATGAGGAGCTGGGACTATCTCCTCTGGGTGATAGAGGGTATGTGAGCAGAAGGGATTGACAGCAGAAGGCTGGCATTATGGGAAGCCAGAGAGCATTTGGCTGTGGGCCTTGTCCAAGCCACACATATGTAGGCAATGGCTGAGTGCAGGAAGGGAGCGGTAGACAAATATTTGAAAGAGTAGAGTGACTAGGGCTTGGTAAGGGACTGAAGCTGATTGGTCAAGGAGAGAGGCAGGACACCCCCCCTCCCCCAGTCTGGCCTCCAGGGCCAGGAGCTGGGCTCAGAGTGAGTTCCCTTTTGAGGGCTGAGGTTTTGAGGGGACGGGGGTCTAATGTTCTGCAAGTTGCTGTTTGCAGCACGTGGTTAGAGGTAAGAGCTGGAGGTCTGAAAGTTTTCTTGGACCCCTGCTTTTTTTTTAATCTCAATCTTTCTTGAGATATCGTTTACATACCATAAAAGTCACACCTTTCACATGTACAATTCAATGAATTTTAGTGTTTGTATAGAGCTGTACAAACATCACGATCTAATTTTGGAACAGTTCCTCACCTAAAAAGAAACCTCATGCCTACTTGCAGTCACTCCCTCAGTCTTTTACACGGATTAATGATCCGTGTAAATCCATCCTGCTTCACAGCCCCATTTTACGGCTAAGAACACTGAGGCCTGGTTTCTGTAGCTCCAAGGGCTAGGACTGTTCCAGAGGCAAAAATCCCTTCTCTATGCCCCATAGCAAAGAAGCAGCAAAGCTGGGAATCAGACCCAGGTCTTGGACAATTTTGACAACCTTGCCCAGTGACATTTCCAGGTCTTTTGAGAAGGGAATAGTGAGTGACTTCAAGACACCCTCTCTGGTGAGCCTGGTGGGAGGGTGAGGGGACTCTCAGAGCTATGTCCCAGGTCACTGGGCTCTGCTATCAATTTTCACTAGCAATTCAGGCTTGGACTTCTGTTATCTCGTGAGGAATAGAGACCCTCCCTGGCCTTCAAAAACCAAGCCTGTGTTGGGGATATTCACAGTTTCGTTTTGAGCCTCTATGTGCTGTTCTTATGTTTTTAACATTTCAGGGGATCACATGGCACATTCAGGAACTGTTTTTCCCTTACAGGCCAACTCCCAAAAGGCCTCAAATCAGTGTGGGTGGTGCAACTTTATCCTTTCCATAAATGTAGAGACCGCAACACAACAGGGGCAAAGCAGGCAGAGACTCATGTGCCCCTGAGCTGACATTCCATGGCGGGAAATAGGGGAGAAGTGTGTTAACTGAGCAGATATGGTCTTGCATGTCAGAGGGTGAGGGATGTTATGGAGAAAAATAAGGCTAAGAAGAGAAGGGAGAGCAAGGATCCTTTGGAAACTATCCCAACGGAACTAAACCTCTTAAATTCACTATATTTGTTCGGTGGGACTCCTGGTGATACACTCAGTTCCTTTTCTGCTTCTCATTTCACTCTTGGGTGCTACAGAAAAAAAGAATTGTTTCAACCTCGTCTAGGCCACTTGGGGACTTACCACCGGTTTATCCTGAAGCTCTTAACATTCCCGTCCGGCTTAGGTGGTTTCCAGTGCGTTTGGGGAGGGCAGAGAGTGGGGAGGCTCCCGGGCAGGTGCAGCCAGCGCCCCAGCGCCCCTTGCAGGCGGGCAGCCCGTCCAGCTCATGCCACACTCCCTCCACCCGCAGGGGTCCCGGAGCGCGTGGAGCTGGCCCCCCTGCCCGAGTGGCAGCCGGTGGATGAGAACTTCACCCTGAGCTGCCGGGTGGAGGGCGGGGCGCCCCGGACAAACCTCATGGTGGTGCTGCTCCGCGGGGAGGAGGAGCTGAGCCGGCAGCCGGTGGTGGGGGAGCCCGCCGAGGTCACGGTCACGGTGCAGGCGGGCAGAGACGACCACGGCGCCAGTTTCTCGTGCCGCACGGAACTGGACCTGCGACCCCGAGGGTTGGAACTGTTTGTGAAGAACTCGACCACCAGGCAGCTCCGAACCTTCGGTGAGGCACTGGGGAGCCCACAGGGAGAGAGGATGGGCTCAGGGGCTGCCCCCACTTGAGGTGCGGGGTTCCTTGGAAGCAGGGGCACTGGCCGTGGGGGTGTTGAGCAGGTGGTGACCAAGATTGCAGAGGCTTCTGGGAAAAGCATGTCCTTGGCTCCTGTGGTGGGTTGTTCGGGGATGGGGATGCTCTGGTCTCAGGATCTGAGAAGCCTGTGACCCGCGCGGGAAAGGGGTGACCCAGGCGGAAGAGTATTTGCCAGGTGGGGCAATGAAAATGTCCCAGAAAAGAGCTTCAGGATGCTCGCACCTCTCTGTTCACACCGACCCTCTCTTGCCACCAGTCCTGCCAGGGACCGTCCCCGACCTTGCTACCGTCCCGATCATGGAAGTGGGCACAGAGCAGCCCGTGAATTGCACCCTCAGTGGACTGTTCCCAGCCGCCGAGGCCAACGTCCACCTGGCACTGGGGGACCAGAGATTGTATCCCACCGTCATACATGAGGAGGACTTTCTCTCTGCCTCGGCGTTGGTCAAGGCGAACGCGGAGGAGGAGGGCACCCAGCAGCTGACGTGTGTGGTAATGCTGGGAAACCTCAGCCGGAGGACACAGGAGCAAGTGACCATTTACAGTAAGTAGGACAGGGGCGGGGCTTCTGAGGGGTGGGGCCGATGCCAGGGGCAGGGCTCACTGTGTGTCCGTCCCCAGGCTTCCCAGCCCCCAACCTGACCCTCAGCCAGCCCGAGGTCTCAGAAGGGACTAACGTGATCGTGGAATGCACAGCCCATGGTGGAGCCGAGGTGATGCTGAGTGGGGCCCCATCCGGGCTTCCGGCCCCCAGCGCCCAGTTAGAACTGAACGCCAGCGCAGAGGACAACAGGCGCAGCTTCACCTGCTCTGCTGCCCTGAAGGTGGATGGACAGGTGCTGCGCAAGAACCAGACGCGGGAGCTCCGAGTCCTGTGTGAGTGGGACTGCTGGACAGCGACCCCTAATCTCCAAGACCCAACCCCTAAGATTCCATGGGCTCCTGTCTTCTGAACGCACACCCCTAGCCCTCTTCCCAGATTCTTATGGGTCCTGCAGTCCTAAGATGGGGACAGAGGTCCTGGTCTCTGAGCCTGTCCCTCATCTTGTATTTCTCCAGATGGCCCCCGACTAGATGAGAGAGATTGCCTGGGAAACTGGACGTGGGAGGAAGGCTCCCATCAGACCCTGACCTGCCAGGCCTGGGGGAACCCAACCCCCAAACTGAAATGTCTCAGGAAAGGGGATCAGGCTTTGCTGCCCATTGGGGATCTGAGGCCTGTCAGGCGAGAGGTTGCAGGCACCTACCTGTGTGAAGCTAAGAGCTCCCGTGGTGAGATCACCCGTGAAGTGGTCGTGAATGTGATCTGTAAGTATGCCAGTGTTCTGGGCTGGGTAGGGCAACCCTAATTCTCACCTCGTGTCCCCAGCTGGGAACCCCACGAGGGAGCCCAGCTCAACCCTTACTGTCCCCTGTGTCCCCCCCAACAGACCACCAGAATAACATGCTCACCATCGGTCTGGTGACAGCTCTAGTCATCGTAAGCGCTGTGGGCATAGGCCTTTACCTCTATAACCGCCAGCGGAAGATCCGGGAATACAAACTACAGAAGGCCCGGGAGGCGGCTGCCATGAGACTGAAGAGACCAGCCACGCCTCCCTGAGCCTGTCCTAAGACAGGGCTTTGCAGCTCTCTGCGTGGTGGCCGCAATACCACATTGAACAGTGATGGGCATATTACCATTCACCTACAACCCACCTTTCCAGGATGCCAGGGGACAGGACCGAGGCCTCATTGGGATACAGATAGCATTTGGGGTCATGGCACCCGAACACCTAAGACCCCCAGGCCTCACACCTGACCTATAGACACAGGACCTAGTGAAGAGGAGGTGGAAGACTCAGGGTGTGACTGTGAGGGATGTCAAAGGCTGACCTGGCCAGAGCAGGTGTGATGGAGTCACAGACCTCTGAGTCTGGGACACCCAACTGGGAAATGTTGAAACTCGCCACCTACTGTGTGTGATGAGGCCCTGCTGCCCAAAGAGAGAAATGGCCTCACACAAACACATGTAGCATTGAAACACATCCCCAGATGCCAGCTCCCGAACTACTGTCCCCTGACTGTTCCCAACTCTTGATGGTAACATATTTATTCATTTATTCTTTTAAAAGCTATTTATTGAGTGCCTTTTATGTGGGCAAAGATGAGTAAACATAGGTTTTGCCCTCAGGGAGTTCTCATTCAGGGTTGCCAGGTACAGTTGTACTGGCTGTGCACTGTACAGGAGTCCCTGGCAAAAAGATCAAGTGGGGCTGGAATTTCCCATTCCACTGTCCAAGCTGCTTTCCTCCAGAAGGAAACTAGCAATGGCAACATGGTTTAGCTGGTAACATGCCCAGAGATGACCCACAGAGCTCTTAACCCCAGCACTGACACTGACCTCTATTAGACCTCTTTGCCCATATGCATCTCTGCTGGTGCTCACAGTGACACTTGGTGGCATGCCTAACCATGAGTGCCAACTCCTTGCCAGCTAAAACACAGAGTCCTGGAAACTATGGCTCACCCGTGTGCTCCTGCCTTGTCTTACCTGTTTCCATCTCGGTGCTACTATGCAACAGAACACTCTGGCCGCTCCAAATTCCTGCAGGCAGTGAGGAGAGGCCTGGGAGGACCCCCCTCCCAGCTCCGGAAGCCTCTCGCTTTTTCATCCACCCCAGCCTTGTGTGAGTTGAGGGAAGGTGTCATAGCCAGCTGGAGCCCTTTCTAACCACCATACCACAGCTTTTTCCTCTTACTTCCTCCAACAAGAAAAGGTGGCCAGTTCAAGGCCCACCCCTGAGGCTGTAATCCAGATCTGAGGCTTGGTGTAGGCCCTTTGGAGACTAGTGCAAATTAAAGATCCCTATCCAGAAAAACGCCGTGACATGCTTTTTAATGGGGTCGGGAAACCCTTTCTTGGGCTGAGGGAAGGGATCCATGTGGCAGGGTTCCTGGGGCCTGTAGGAGCTCTGTCTCTCTCCGGGTGGGGCCAAGGAGGTGGGGCTGCAGGACTTCTTATCTTCAGAGCCAGCCTTGGTTCCCTGGTGCGGGGCCCCTCAGTCTCGACTCTTTGCCATGGGGTCTCTGTGCCCCATCTCGCTGCTGGTTTTGCTGGCAGCCACCTCCGCGGGAGGCGGGAGCGCGCGGAGGCACCGGGCGGCAGGGACGCAAGTTCACGGAGGCAGCTTTCCCGCGTCCTCGGCGACCTCAGCGCAGCTGTTCTGGGTGCGCTTAAGCCCCAAGTTTACCACCGTGCAGCCGGGGGACTCAGTGTGGCTCAACTGCAGCAGCAGCTGCCCCCTGCCGTTGAACTTCAGCCTCAGCACTCCGCTGCGGCGGGGCAAGTCCCACAGTGGGCCCCGCTGGGTATCCTACCAGCTGCTGGATGTAAGGGCCTGGAGCTCCGACGTGCGCTGCTTCGTCACCTGCGCAGGAGAAATGCTGTGGGCCGCGGCCAGGATCAACACCTACAGTGAGGGACTGGGGCTCGGGATCGACTGGGTGGATGGGAGGGGACGGGTGGGGAGGGGAAGTTGACAGTCGCGCTAGGGGGCGCTCGTGGACCTGACTCAGCTGCCCCCTCTGCTTTAGAACGGCCACGCAGCGTGATCCTGGAGCCTCCGATCCCAGAGGACGGTCTGTACACTCTACGCTGCCACGTGACGCACGTGTTCCCCGTGGGCTTCCTAGTGGTGACTCTGAGGATCGGCGGCCGGGTCATCTACTCCGAGAGCCTAGAGCGCTTCACTAGCCAGGATCTGGCCAACGTGACACTGACTTACACGTTGCGCCCCAGGCCCCGCGACTTCTGGCAACCCGTGACCTGCCACGCGCGCCTCACTCTCAATGGCCAGGTGGTTCGCAACAGCTCGGCACCCATCATGCTGACAGTCTTCGGTGAGGTGCTTTTATGATCCTGGGGATTTGGGGAGGGTTTGGGAAGGTTATTACCCTAGGAGGTTGCACAGGCCAACCATGAGCCCCACGCCGGTTGTCACACTTCCATATGCCTCGTTCCTAATTCTCACCTCTTGTCCCCAGCTTGGAGCCCCACGTCCAAAACCTTGGCCTCCACCTCCATCACAGCCTTTGTGGGGATCCTTCTTGTCGTGGGGGCCATTTACCTGCGAAAACGCCTATTGATGCAGTCCAGGGGATAGAGGGGGTGGTCCATGCTGGCTGAACCAGAGGAAGATGGAATCCGGGACAATCTGGGGAACTCTGCCTGGATCAATAAAGCCTCTCTCAGCCTCTGTCGCGGGCCTAAATGTCTTCCATTAATGCCCTTCCTCCGAGGAAGTGTTCTTCTCCATTCTAAGTTTTGTCCATGCCTTAGACTAGCTTTCTCCAAGTTCTTTGTCTCTCTCAGGACACCTCAGGTTTCCTCACTCTGTTCCACCTGGGGTTCCCTAGAGCCCCAAACCTTCTGCATTCCCAGCCTGTGTAGTAAAAATGTCTCCTGCAGGGATTATCAGTGCGGTGCAGAAGGGCAAAGCCTGGGCCCCTGAAGGCTTTGGGTTGTGGGCGGGCTTTTTCGGGGTGTGTCTTTTCCTGATTGGCTTCACCGCTACCACGCAGCAGCTCTGATTGGATGTTAAGTTTCCTCTCCATTTCCACCCCCCAACCTTAGACTCTGCACTTTTGGGGAGCAGAGGAATGGCGTGAGAACAGACCCCCAAGTTCGCATCAGCACATTAGGGGAGGGCTTGTGTGTGAAAGCACAAGTGAGCGGGGTCACACAGACACACTGAGGGACGTGGATGCAAAGAAAAGGTACCCATTTGGAGACTACGGGGAAGGCGCAATGAGATGATCCGCGTGGGGGTGTTAACATATTTGCGTCCTGGCAACGTCTCGACAGTCAACGAGCCTGGTGGGCACATGAGGGTAGGGGGGTGTCAAAGTTTGGGGCCAGGATGCGGTGTCAAAAGTGTCACAGTTGGTCTCTTGGTTTCGCGTGGACAGCAAATCAATTCCGGGCCCCCACTGGATGCCTGACAGGGCCCTCACGGTGCAGGGCTCCGCCCGCCGCGCAGAAAACGAATTCAGAGGCTCGCGCTCACACACGCCGCGTAGACACGTGCCCGCTGCACGCTGGGTAAATACAGACCCAGAGCTGAGCCGACCCTAATTTAGACGCCCCTGAACGCTGCGCGCATGCACACGTGTTCCCGACTCGCTGGCACTTTCGTCCCCGCCCCCAGTGTCGCGTGCGGGGGCGGAGCCGGAGGGGGACTTGAGCCGTGGCTGTAATCATCAGCTCTTCGGAGTCAAAAGGAGAAGGAACAGTGAGGGAGGCATCCCGAATACCCCCCTAGAACCGTGCATTCCCCATCCCGCGCTTCCCAGATTTGCCCAAGGGGCGCTGGTGGGAGGAACAAAATATGGGGCGGAGCTCTAAGTCCAGTTTATTATCATAGCATCTAAGCCAGGGATGGGGTGGGGGTTTGAGAAGGGCAACCCAGCATCCCTCCACCTCCGCGTCGCCGCCGCTTGAGATGACGCGGGAGCGCGCGGCCGCCCCCAGAAGGCTCCGGGAGATGGGGCCGACCTCCACGGAGACCCCGGGGGTCGCTCGCTCCTGCCAACACTCCTTCGCCAAGGCCAGGAGCCTTGCGCACGCTCGCCCTTCGCCCCCCCGCCGCCTCTGCCGCCGCCCCCTCCTTGGAAACCAAGTTACCAACGTTAAACCAATCCCCGGGCGCAACTGTGCCTCCTCCACACCCCACCCGCCGCGCCGTGCCGCGCGGTCTTCTAGCCCAGCTCAGCGCTCGCGTCCCCTCGCCTCCTGCGCTTCCCCGGCGGCGGCGATGCCCGGGCCCTCGCCAGGGCTGCGCCGGGGGCTGCTCGGCCTCTGGGCTGCCCTGGGCCTGGGGCTCCTCCGCCTCTCAGGTAAGAGCCGGGTCCCGGCTCAGGGTGGACAGGGCGGGGGTGGAGTTCCCGGACTTGAGAAGCGGCCAAAAGCCCCTCCCAGCTCCCTCCTTCGCCTCTCTCCCGAGCTCCTGCCCCACCTTAAACCCTGGCCTTCTCCTCTATCTCTTCCCACCAACACACCGTGGAGACCTTGATCGCCCAGGTCTCTACCTTCTTCGAGACCTTGGGTGCTCTGCATCCAACCTCTCACCCTGGAGACCCCGTGTCTCCCTTGTCCCCTCCCGGGGCACCGCCTCACGTCTGCTATGCATCACAGTCCACGGATTTCTATCTTCCCTACTTGTGGTGCGTGAAGACCCGATCTCTGAACTGCCGTGACTCAGAAGCGCTGTTCCCGCTCCACCCGGAGCCCTGACAACCGAGTTCCTCGGCTGTTCCCGCTGTTCCTTCCATAAGCCCAGCCCTGCGTCCCTTTTCCGTGCTTTTCCCCCGGTTTTGGAGTCCTCACTTATTCTTGACTCAGTCTCATCTCTCCGTGGCCTTTGCCTCAACCTCAGTCTCCCTCAAGCTAGAACCGTGAGAACCAGTTCGTTTCCCTACCCTCACCGAGGGCCCCTTCCTCCCAGCATTGCTGTGTGCATCGAGAAACCCCATCTTTCCTCTCATCTTACCCTCCCCTCGTGCTTTCTCACCACTCCATTGGCACCTTGAAGACCAGGACTCTCTACTGCCTAGTCCCAGGGACATCCTCGTGGTTTCGACCCTGGGAGCACGCCTCCAGACCTGAGGCCTGGGCGGGACGCGGTACTCCTGAGTTATTTCGTGGCTGTGGCCTCTACTCATTCCCCGGGAATCCCTGATTAGACATAGGGGTACTAAGATTCCAGGGAGGTGGCTCCCCAGGCTGAGCCTGCGTTTTCCCGGGCAGCGGTCGCGCAGGAGCCTTTCTGGGCGGACTTGCAGCCTCGCGTGGCGCTCGTGGAGCGCGGGGGCTCGTTGTGGCTGAATTGCAGCACCAATTGCCCACGGCCTGAGCGCGGGGGCCTGGAGACCTCGCTGCGGCGGAATGGGACACAGAGGGGTTTGCGCTGGCTGGCGCGGCAGCTGGTGGACATCCGCGAGCCGGAGACCCAGCCGGTCTGCTTCTTCCGCTGTGCGCGACGCACACTACAGGCGCGTGGGCTCATTCGCACTTTTCGTAAGTTCTCTGCTGCCAAGCTGGGATTCGACTGCTTTCCCTCCCTTCCAAGCCCCGCCCCCTGGGTCGCAGGGTCCACGCCCAGGCCCCACCCTCTGAATCCCCACGCCCTCCCCTTCTTGGCCCCTGAGTTCCACACTAGTTATTGCTGAGCCCTGACGTTTTCAAGAGCCGTGGTTCCCCCTTGCAGAGCGGCCGGATCGCGTAGAGTTGGTGCCGCTTCCTGCCTGGCAACCTGTGGGCGAGAACTTCACCCTGAGCTGTAGGGTCCCTGGCGCTGGGCCTCGGGGGAGCCTCACATTGACCTTGCTGCGGGGCGCCCAGGAACTGATTCGCCGCAGCTTTGCCGGGGAGCCACCCCGAGCGCGCGGTGCGGTGCTCACCGCCACGGTCCTGGCGCGGAGGGAGGACCATAGGGCTAATTTCTCGTGCCTCGCGGAGCTAGACCTGCGGCCGCAGGGCCTGGGGCTGTTTGAAAACACCTCGGCCCCCAGAGAGCTCCGAACCTTCGGTGAGTGGGTGTGAGGAGAAGGAAACCAAGAGGGATCGGTCGGTGTTTAAGAAATTTGGAGGCAGAAAAATCCAAATTCTACTCTTACTCCAAAAGTTGTCTTCCTCTCGGTGCCTTGAGGATAATATTTATCCTATAGTGCAGGTAATGTGCTTAGTACATATTAAGTGTTCAATATGTAAGTTCAAGCTCTGTTTTTCCACCCCCAGCGCTGTCTCCAGACCCCCCGCGCCTCGCTGCCCCTCGGCTCTTGGAAGTGGGTTCAGAAAGACCCGTGAGCTGCGCCTTGGACG